CCCCCTGTCTGCCCTTCTGGTAAATCTAGTCAGCCAGAGGTCCCTGTTCCAGGAGGGTCAGCTGTTCCTCATCTACGGCAATCCATTGTCAGTATTCCTTTGGATAGAATTGGGGTCTGCTGTTCATTTTTCCAGTAGTATGTTGACACCCAACATTTTTATGTTGGTCTAGGGATCAAAATGATGTCCTCATGTTTACATGTCAAGCACTTTACTGACTTTACCCAGTCCCTTCACCCATTTTATTATTTGGGAATACCAGCAATCATCCCCTCTACCCCACCTCCTTTTCTACTCTGTATCTAGAATGGTCTTTCTGACTCTCCTTGCCAACAAATGTCCTTTACTTCCTGTGAGAGGTCAATTTAAGTCCCTCTTCATCTCTCAGGTTTCCTTACCATGCTATATTGAGGTCATTCTTCTTTTGAATAAAATAACAAATTAAAGATTGTCAATCTGGAAATGATTCTGAGGTTAATAAGCCTGGCCCAGCTAACTCATTTAAGTTATCAGCAACCACAGACAGCAGATAGAGTCTCTGGTATGTGGCTTGTTTCTCTTCCCTCAGACCTCAATCTCCTTGGACCTGACCACTGGCTCAGGACCACTGATCCTTTTTGCCTGTTCTGCTCTATAGTTCTTTGGGCACACAAATTGTGCTGGGGTGCAGTTCAGTGGGAAAGTGCATGTTTAGTGTCCATGAGACCTGGGTTCCATCCCCAGTACCTAAACCAAAACACCAAACCAGGTCTTATGGTTTTTTTCTTAGAAGTGTTAATTAATACTTATAAACAGCAGGCATACAAATATAATTATGTTCTTAAATAAAAACTTCTAAGCATCTCTACAAAATTATACTAAATATGTATCAAGGAAGTAAAATCATGTAATAACTGGAAGGCCCACTTATTGGAAAGACCCAACTCTTAAGGTACTATCAAATAACCACCAACATTTCTATAAAATGGCCAGTTTGCAAAGTGAGAAATTTTCTGTAAGCAACATCAACACTTTGGAGAGAGGGGTACCCACCTGTTTTTTTCCAGCTCTTGGGGTACCAAATTTTATTCTATTTTTGGAAATTATCTTTCTCAATCAGAATATGTGATAGTTTGATCTCTGGAAGCATTTCATTAGATAGTCAATAAAAAAATAACTGTCTCCCCAGGGAAATGTCCTCGTCCCCCTTTCTAGCATGTGGTTGGTCCTGAGGAGCAACTGAAGGACCCTTCCCCCTGTCAGTTTTCCCCCTCTCTCAGCACCACAGTGAAGCCTGGTCATTCATTCCTCTCAACCATGGTTGAAACAGGAGCACAGCTTGAACAGAAGTCAGCAGCAATGCTAAACTTGAGGGTAAAAGGCTGCCTTTAGCTTAGTCATTATGAAAAACTTCTTTATAAGTGTAATGTACTCCTTTATTATTTCTACTAAATATTGTGTCTAGATACCTTTTTCCTATATTAGAAATAGATTTATATAGTTAATGTATCCTTGAAAATTTCAGGCTTCAATGTTTTCACCATTAAAAGTATTTTATGTGTATGGTAATTTGGTGTATTGTAATTTGTGTTAATCATTTCACAATATATATACATCCAAAATATCACACCATAGGTACATTATTTATCAATTATACATTAGCATAAAAATACATAAATAAGCTCTAGCTCTGGCTTTGGCTTTGTCTTGATAGCTCTGCAACCTTGAGTAACAACACTTTGTACCTCATTCTCCTGATGTGTAAAGTAGAGTCATAATGCCCACATCAGACATGCAATAAAAATCATGTAAAATTTTTTATCACACTTGACATATGAACACACCTCGTATGAACAAAGTATACACTTACCTAGCCATCCTTTACCCTAAACAAAGGTAAAGTCAGATTCAGCCATATTTTGGTTTTATAGTTTTACATTTTTAATTCTGAGCTTTAAAAGTAAGAAAAAAACATTATTGTGCTAAACCATACCCCTGTGTTCCACCTGTCTCTAGTTCAGAGGTCAGTTGCCCTCACCCTGTGATCCTGTATGCAAGATCGTCGACTGGGCTCTGTCTGTCTGGAGGCAGCTCAATTCCTGCCTGGCTCGCTTGGGTACAACAGAAGCACTTCTTGGACCAAAGTATTTCCTGTCTTGTCCAGTAGTCCCTGGACACACTCAAGCAACAGTGAAGTAGGTATTTTTTTTTCTTATCTGCCCCCTAAAAATAGAATCATAATGTGCTTGTTAGCCTTGTCAACTTGAAACAGGCTACAGTCATTTGAGAGAAAAGCCTTGATTGAGGAATTTCCTAGATCAAATCGGCCTGTGGTCATGTTTCTGGGGAGGGTTGTCTGGATTAATTGATGCTAGAGGGTCCAGACCACTGTGAGTGGCACCATCCCTAGGCAGGTAGTCCTGAGCTATATAAAAAGCTAGCTAAACATGAACCAGTGAGCAAGCCACCAAGCAGTATTCCTCCATGGTTTCTGCTCTGACTTGTGTCAATGATAGTTTGACCTGGAAGTGTAAGATTTAAGTGTAAGCCCTTTGCCCCCCTCAGTTGCTTTCATCAAACTGTTTATCACAACACAAAAGAAACTAGGAGACATGGACAATCTATGTTTGAGAGAGAGAATGCTGGCCAGACTGTTCCTGTCATTATCACAGAATGTGGCTTCCCGTCACAGGGTAGCCAGGGCTTATCTATTATGTGCTTGTTAAGGTAAGTGTATTTTTAGCAAGAGCTAGGTAATAGTTTTTCTGTGTATACACATATGCACACATATAAAACTGTTATGTACAGCTTGCTGTGCAGCCTTCTGACTAAGGCCCAGGTAAGAAACTTCAAATATTTTATGCCTACTCTCCAAACATACAAACCCAACATTGAATTGAGGACTTGAAAAACTTCCTCCTTTATTGGTCCTTAGAACTTTATGTGTGTTCCTTTGAAGAAAATATACAAGAAACATACGTACATAAAATACGTTGAATGAATCAGAAAATCAGGAGGAAAGAGGAATTAAGTGGCCCCCAGTCAGCTCAGCCTTGCAAGGAACTTGTGATTGGCTAGCCCGTTTGCTTCTGAATATTCTGGCATCCTGGGTAGAAACTACTTTGGAAAACAGGAGATGCAAATAAAATTTCTTCTGTATTGTGAGAAAAGATATGGACATAAGGTATTTGGGAGGAAGAGAAAAGATACTAAATCAACCTAGCATTTTCTTGGTAAAAGTCAGAAATCCATGTGTTGATTCAAGCCCCATTTGCTTCATCCCTTAGATACAGCCCCTATTCACATCTACAGTTTCAAGATTCTTAGGAACCAATTTTGGCCTTTCTTGTGTGGAATCTAGTCTTTGACAAGAACTGTGTAGGCATGGAGAATGCTGTCCTGTGAGGCTGACACATCAGCCTGCTGTGGTTCGGGATTCTGGGTCAGAGACGAGACCTCATCACCCACAGCCAACGTGCAGTCTGAGCTGTGTGTTTACAGATTCCCATTAAGTCCCATGAGTAACACTTAGTGACCCAGGTAATGCCATGTTTGCCTCTGGACACTCCCACCCTCATCTTCCAAAGAGGAACACTGACCAATCTGTCTACACTGTCCTGGAAGGAGACACTACTTCTACTGCTCTATCAGCAAACAAATCTGCCCTCTGCTTCTAAAGGAGACATCTTTGGCTTCATTTTCCAACTCTGTGAAGATAGAACAGAACAAAAGTTTGTGCAAGATGTATAGAAATACCTAAAATGGAGATGGGAGAGATGGCTCAGTGGTTAAGAATACTTGTTCTTCCAGAGGACCTGGGTTCAGTTCCCAGCTCCCATATGGTGGCTAACAATTATACTTCACTCCAGTTCCAGGAAATCTGATGTCCTTTTCTGGCCCATATATACAGTGCACTTACATACATGTAGGCAACACTCATACACATAAAACAAAAATAAATACATTTAAAAAATTTAAGAGCCAACCTTAGCCAAGGAACTATTGGCAGCTGATTATTGTTGGGTAAGGGAGAGTTGGTCTTCTTTAGGAGTATGATTCTAGATAGACTGACTTGACTCAATAAACCTTAACATATATGACAGAATACATGAAATCTGGTGGGAGGAGCATGGGGAGGTGCAGATAGGGGAGGGGAGGTTTAAATATGATTAATATGTATTATATGAACTATACAAAAATTCAATTAAAATATGTATTTAAAAAACTTTTAAGAAACCTAGGATAGCCACCCTGCTTTTTTTTTTCAACCAAAGCTTATCTGTATACCTTTAGCACGCTTAGAAATAGCTGTGTAATTTTGACTTCTATTTTAGAATGTTGGGGACTGAGGGTGTGGTTTAGTGGTAGAATGCTTGCTTACCATACTCAAGTCCCCTATTTCCAGTCCTTGGTACCACAAAAAAGAGAGGAAGGGGGGAAGAGAGGAAAAGAGGGAGCAAAGAGAGCACTTGCCTAGAACCAGAATTTTGTCTGCTATTTCATTATTTTCTTGAATTATTTATAACTAGGCATTAATAGAGATGCTTACAATAAATCAATGTTCTTTTTATAGCCTTTAATCATTGTGTGTGTGTGCATGTGTGTTATACTGGGGATTGAATTCAGGTCTCCATACATGCTAGGCAAGTGCTCTTCCACTGAGACATCTTAATGTTGCAACAAAGTGTAATCTTTCTTGAGGAAGGAAAATGGAAAACCTGATTGCTCCAAATTGGGGCTATTGTCCCATGGCTTACAGCTATGAATTTAAGATGACCCAGTCATCTGCAGGGCTGAGCCCACATGTGTGCATGTGTATTGAGGAGGCTTTGCCTTGGGGGCAGACAGATTTAATTTGCCAGTAATTATCCCAACTCAGAAATATTAAAATATAGTATATGTGCATCATGTTAATGAAATGTGACAAATAAGTGTAAGATATTTAGATATGGATTTTGTGAAAATTTGATTTATTTTCTAGGTGCCTTCCAACTGATCTGTCTATACTATTTATCATACATTCATTCTGTAGACCTGGTGCATTGATTCTAAGATTGACATTAACATGAAAACAGTTTCATTTGAAATGCATTGTTTTTAAGGAAAATCAAACTACTTTGGCTTTGGATAATTTTACTTACTATAAAACTAGCCCAGGAGGACCAGAGAGATGGCTCAGTGGCTCAGAGCACTGACTGTTCTTTCAGAGGACCGGGGTTTGAATCCCAGCACCCCCATGGTAACTGACAATTATAACTTTGGTTCCAGGGGACCCAATGACCTCTTCTGACCTCCATAGGCATTGCATGCCATGGGTGCACTTACATACATGCAGGCAATACACTCATACACATAAAAATAAAATTAGCCCAGATATGTAAGAATCCAACAGAAACAAGGTATTTTTTTCTCATGGTCATTTAAGACCTGCCTTTTTTTGTAGACTTCTATGTAGTTCATTTGAGGCTTGCTCCTAACTGGTGAATTGCCCCTCTTTCAAGGTGGATGTCTAAGCTGTGGAATGCCATAATTGCACCTAGAGTTCAAGAAGCAATATTGTCCAGAGCCTCTGTGAAAAAACAACCTGGTCTTGGGCAGACAGCTGCTAAGAAGCACCCCAGTCAAGGACAGCAGGCTGTGGTGAAGGCTGCTCTCAGCATCTTGCTTAATAAAGCCGTTCTGCATGGCTGTCCCCTTCCAAGGGCAGGTATGTGTGCATGGAAGAGAGGAAACTGTTGCACTCTACAGCACTCCTTGGAATTTGTCTGTAGGGAGCTCTCTTTTGTCTCTTTGTAACTAAAGAAATGTATGGACTTTTTAACAGCATTGTCCCAGAACTCATTCTGTTTTTAATCAATGATTCATGTTTGAATTCTAATCCTCTAAATAAGGTTTGTGTTGGTCCAAAATATCCAGCTTGGCTAGTATTAAGCAGGCTCATGATTTAAGAATTGGAAATGTATTTTGTGTTATCCTATGAAACTGTATTCTCTTCCTTTATATATATATATAAGCAATGTGACTTGTGTTGTTTCAGAGCTAGACCAGCATCTAGCTGACTTCAAAGGGGGAAGTTTCCCTCTGTCCATAGTTTCAAGCTACAGCAAGAAGAAAGGAGAGAGTGGAGCCTGGAGAAAGGTAAACACCAGCCCTCGCAAGAAGCCTGGGCGGTTCTCCTCACCCACCTGGAACAAGCCGGACCTGAAGCAAGAAAGTAAGGGGGTTGGGGAGGCATGTGTGATCTACCTTCTGAATGAAGGGATGATTTTATTCTTAAGACTGTATTTGTCGGGGCTGGAGAGATGGCTCAGTGGTTAAGAACATCCTGGCTATTCTTGCAGAAGACACAGGTTCAAATCCCAGCACCCACATGGCAGCTAACAACCATCTGTAACTCCAGTTCCAGGGAATCTGATGCCCTCTTCTGTCCTCCACAGGCATTGCAGGACATGGGTGCACTTGCATACATGCACACAATACATGCATACACACAAAATAAAAATAAAGCAAAGAGAAAATAAATTCTTTAAAATGTTTTCTGTCAAAGTCCTGAGTAACATTCTTTCATGGAATAAACTACATAATATACACATTTCCAAAAATATTTGGGGCCCTTCTGCCTAAAAATATCACTTTCATCACTAGAAATTGAAAATTCAATTCGATTTTAGAAATTTCTAAAATATAGAAACAAATTTTACAAAATACATAATTTATCAGTAAGTGGTTAAATTTTATTTTTATAATGATAATTTTCTCAAATAATTACACTGGATAATTACAACAGTGCTTGAGTTGATTTTGATTTTTGATTGATGAATGTTTTTAAACCACGTTTCCTGAGGATGCTGTTTAGTGGGAGAGTTCTTGCCTGCTTTGCACAAAGTATTATCTTCTATCCTCAGGACAGAAAGACACCACAATAGGAATCTTTACATACAGATCACTATGAAAGTTCATGAGATGTAGAAAGGACAGCCCCTTTCTTTCCTGATATAACAGGAAGATCAGTGATATTGGTTCACAGGCTTCCATACAGCAGTGCCCAGCCTGGACGCTGACAGTAATCAGGAGAAAGCCACTAGTAAGTGCCACCAATTAGAGAACAGGAGAGTAAAAGAACTAGTGCAGTGATCTTTGCTTTGAATAAAGATACTTTAAATACGGGCCTGGAGGGATGGTTCAGTGGTTAAGAACACTGGTTGTTCTTGCAGAAGCCTCGGGTTCAAATCCCAGCACCCACATGACAGCTAACAACTGTCCATAACTCCAGTCCCAGGGGATCCGACAGCCTCTTCTGACCTCCACAGGCATTGCACAACATGGTGCACTTACCTACATGCAGGCAATATGCACATACACATAAAATAAATAAAAATTTTAAAAGATAGTTTAAATACAATTTACTTTTCCAAAACCCTTTTGTTTTCTTTGTGATTCTGGGGTTAGGACTCAGGACTTGGAGCATGCTAGGTAAGCACTAAACTACAGAGGTAAATCCAAATTTAAAATCATTCCTTTAAAAAAAAATACATTACTTTTTATTTTGTTTACGAACATATTGCCTGTGTATATATAAGTGCACTGTGTCATGCAATGCCCACAGAAGACAGCATTTGATTCCCCTGGAACTGGAGTTATAAACAGTTGTTGACCACCATGTGAGTGCTGGGAATCAAACCCAGGTCCTATGCAAGAGCAGTCAGTGCTCTTAATTGCTGGGCCATTTCTCCAGTCTCCTTAATTGGCCCAGCAGCATTCATACAATTTTGGACTTTACTCAAGAGCAGCTAGATACTTTAGTGTGCTTATAAAATTTGGACTAGCAGCTTGTATTAGAAGCACATATTTTATTGGAGTCTAAATGGAAAAACAGTGTTTCTCATACATTTCTATCTATAATTTAGTAGGAAAAGCCCTGCATCATGACCAGTACACCCAAACCTGTGCTTTAGCTTGAATATCTGTACTTGATACAAATCAGTGTTCTTATGCAAGAATACATACAGGCTGATATTATTTATTCTTTTTCTTGAGTAGACAATTTGAAAAATATTAGTATGGTTTTTATGGATCTTTGTGTCCTGTCCATATTTTAGTAATAATGCATAGCTATTAATATGAAATTTTTATAAGTGCACTACTAATGTCACATGCAGTAGTACTTTAACAGTTCCAGACATCAAAAGCTGTACTTGACTATAGAGTCAATAATTTTTGAAAGGCAAACAAAATTGAGAAAGGGAGATTATCATCACAATAACATGGTTATTTGGGAATAAAGTCATAAGTAAGTAAATAGGTCAACTACTAAAAAGAGGAGGCATTGATAAAAAGTAAAGGCTGGGTTTCCTGAATTAAGTCCCAGGTAGTGGGATTTTACTGAGCTTGGCACAAATATTCACAAGGAAATTGGTCATTCCCTGACCTCCCAGCCATCCCTGTGTTGGAAGCTACACCAGAGCCACTGTCCCAGGAAAATCGCCTCATGAATTGGATGCTAATCCACATCCAATACTGCAGGGCCCTGAATGTTCAGGGATCATTATTAATTCTATTGAAAATGGTTGTTTTCCAATAGGTATAAAAAAGACTATACCACAGCCAAACTGTAACAGGAACACTTCTCTGTCAAAGCAAAAGTAAGTTCTCCTTTCACATTTCACCCTGGCAAACAAAGATGAATCAATTAATTTTAATTATTTTGAGTGTTCTACATGCTCCTAACATACTGTGCAGTTATTATACTATTAACATGATGCTTAGAGTATTAAACATCATTGAAAAGGTGGCATTTAACTGAAATCTAATGCTCTAATAAAAATCCTTGAATGAAATCTTTCTTAGAAGTTCCAGAAGCTTAATATAAACCCATTTGGCTTTTAATTTGCTAAATAAGGCTAAAGGAACAGGGTTTTATTGTTGTTTTTATTATTGTTGTTGTTGTTGTTGTTCTGTTCTTTTTACCAAATTTGATCACTTAACAACTATATGCTGAAGTCTTGCATTTGGGAACTTTTTAAAAGTCTGCATATTTTTAATGCCAGATTTATAAAAACATAGCATGATGTTTTTACCTTTAAGTGTTATATGTTTATAATTCCAGTTGTATTGTCCTTATGGAATTGTTGATTATTTTGGCTTACATATATTTGGAGCTGTAAAGAATGACTTGGTTAATCATAGAATAGAAATAGTAGGCCAGTTTGCAAGTCCCATACATCCAATACCCTGTTCATACAATACAGAAGAGAACGTGAAAGGTCAAGGAAACTGCATTTCATGCTACTTTCTGCCAGGACCATTATATACCTTAGCCTCTTCAATCTTCCCAGTGACCCCCAAGAAGTAGCTCTAAGGATTCTTTGACAGAGAAAAGAATTCAGAGACTGCTGTGCTAAAGGAAAAATAGTCAAGCAAGCCCCTGGCTATACTGTTAGTGAGCAAAGTTTGAATTGAGTTTTTGTTCCACTGTATCACACAGACCCCCACACGATGCATAATGTCTTCATTTGTCTGGCCTGGGAGACAGAAGAAAGGTAAAGAGAAAGAAGATTGGAATGGTTTATGTCCAAGTATCTCTCTTTGTGGAAAAAAAAATGTTATCTTACTGAGAACTTTAACTGGAAGTTGACAACTTCTTGTGAGAATATGGTCATATTCTCTTCATCTCTTGGTCTGGGATTATTTGTTTTAGATGACATTTATGAAATACTTGGAAGGACACTGAAAACGCTTCTCCATTCCCAAGAAAATCCCAAGAAAGTACAGTATCTAGATTGCCATCTTGGTATCTTGTTTGTTCTTACTTTGAAAACTTCTGATCTTTGCGTTAGGTCCTTAGAGAACGATCTCTCATTGACATTGACTTTAGATCATAGACTCTCTCTGGGTTCAGATGATGAAGCAGATCTTGTCAAGGAACTTCAGAGTATGTGCTCCAGCAAATCAGAATCTGATATAAGCAAGGTAAGCAGTCCAGGGCAAGGGTATTGGTCCACTGTACCCAAAAGAGACTCGCCTTTACAGCAGGATGCTGGGAGCCAACCTTGATACCTATTCCCAAAGTGAAATTTCTCATTGTATAGTATGGCCGATGCTGCAAATCCCATCATCTTTCACATTTCTCAGAAAATCCATTTTCTCCAAGCCATCAGAGAGTAAGGGAGTTGTTCTACTTCTCTGCTGAAAGGCATGAAGTTACAATTGTATATTAATTGCATTAGCACAAATCAAGACAACATATTAGGGAAATATTTGAGGAACCTCTTTGTGAGTATTTGTGTTTGGTATGAGGGATGGAACCCAGGGTCTTGTACCTGCTAGGCAAGTGTTCTACTGCTGAACTACTGCCAAAGTCCTTGCTTTTTTTTTTTGAGACAGGGTCTCTCTTACTATAGCTTAGGCAATCCTTGAACTTGATGTGTGTCTCCATGGGTAGCTTTATATATAAGCCTAAATTTGAATTTCTCAGGCCATTATTATTGCTAATATTGGCACATAACTATCAGTAAGAGACAAACTTTAGACTAAACAGGTGGTAGAGTGACAACATTCTTTACAAATAAGAAAAAGAATGGGTCTATATAATATGTGTCATCATGGTCTTTGAGCTGTGAAATCTGAGAATCAAATATGGAAACTAGTTACCTGAAATCTCAAAGAAAACATTAATAGCATCAAGTTCAACCTGTTTTGGCACTCGGATATGTTCAGCACATTTGACCAAGCTTCCTCCATAAACACCTTTACTTGGAAGGAAGCAAAGTCACAACATGCACAGGTTCCAGTGAAAGACTCAGCATTGTACTCAAAGTAGAATTGACTGTATTACTTGACCTTGCTGGAAATGAACTGAAATTCTTCTTTCCCACTGGAAAAATAAGGTAATGATTCAACTATTACAAATTATATATGTACTTTTACTTGCCAAGTGGTTACTTTTCTTTCTGGAGAATTCTTTTGCTCTTCATGTAACCCTTTTAATAGATTCTTTGCCCATAGTTTTGCCCAGGTTTCAAATCTTTCATTTAAGCAGGACAGGGTTTGGGGTATGTTCTACAGGGTTAGGGAAGGTGACACCTTTTCTGTGGCTTTTCCACAATGACATTTAGCTGTACTTCCGGTGTGCTACAGTGTAACTGTGGAGACCTGACTCGGGAAGTTGTGTGTTTTCCAGATTGCTGATTCCAGAGATGACATAAGGAGGTTTGATAGTCCAAGAAACAGCCCTACACTTTCAGCACCTGTTAATCCCAGAATGCCAGGGCCACAGAAGGTTAGTGTTCCTTTCTCTACCAAATTGAGGGGGGAGTTGGTATGGAATTGATTTCATTATTCACTTTTGTAATTTACACTAAAAGAAAATTTCAAACTAGACTTGATAAAGAAGAAATATGAGAAAAGCAAAAGTATACATGAATTAATCAAGGTAAGAAAAAAATGAGTAATCTAACATCATGACTTAGAAAAGCATTACTTTTGAGGCTGGAGAGATGGCTCAGTGATTAAGAACTTTGGCTGTTCTTGCAGAAGACCTGAGTTTGAATCCCAGCACCCACATGATGGTTAACAACTGTCTGTAACTCCAGTTCCAGGAAATTCAGGGCCCTCTTTTGTCCTCCACAGGCACTGCAGGATACAGGTGCACTTACACACATGCAGGCATAACATTCATACACATAATATAAGTTTTTTAAAAATTACTTTGTACAAGGCATAGTAATGCATGCCTTTAAAAATAATGTTTTTAAAAAGTAATGCTTTTTATTTTAAGTGCATCCATGTCATGCAATGCCTGTGGAGGCCAGAGGGGGTGTCAGATCTCCTGGAACTGGAGTTATAGATGATGGTTATCCACCATAAGGGTGCTGGGAACTAAACCTGAGTCCTCTACAGAAGCATCCAGTGCTCTTAACCACTGAACCATCTCTCTGGTCCCCAGCATTACTTTTTATTTCTATTTGATATTATGCTCCAAAGTTTTGGGTGTCTTTTGTTTTCATTTGTTTGTCAAATAACATAAGATTTCAAACAAATTGGGAATTTTGAGTTAATGATAGCAAAGGACTGAATGATAACATCAGGATCATAGACCATTGAAAAGTTCTCTTTTGAGTTTTAGTGAGATAGTCCTTTAAAATCAAGTAAGAATGGCAGAGGACCCAAGATTCATATAGATTCTAATAACCTCTTGAATGGCTTCTCTTACTGTAGCATTGGAAAGGTTGTTGGTTGGTTAATAGCAAGACACACCACAGCTTGTTATTCCCAAGTAAACAGGAACAGTAGGATGACCTCCTATCCATCTGTTACCTTGTGAGGATGCAGATGACCTAGATCCACTTCATAATATGTGCTTTGTTTGGCAAGCCATGTCCAACTGTTCCCATTCTGTCCTCATCTACTCCCACAATGGCTTACAAAGACTGTGTGCATGAAGGAAGGTGGGGTTCAGGGAGCAGGAGTATCAAGTAGGTGTGGTGTGACTATTAACTATGAATCCTTCACTGATTGCTTGGCATCCCTGGACTCACAACCCCTGCTGACCCATTGCTTATTAGAATTCAATACTGGTTAGTTATGTGAAATGTGTGAACTATGAGTATTAGAGGAAGGGAGAGGTTGCTGTCTGCCATCTTCACAGTCTCAGTTCACTGCCTGTGTGATGGCCTGCTCTGAGCTTTGGTTGATCCCCTAGAAACATTTCTTAGGATTCCATATGCAAAGGACAGGAAGAAGCCACGAGAATCTTTAGAAGGGGACTAATCAGCCATCTTCTCATAACACCAACTCATTTTCTATGTGAAAAGACTGTTGTTTTAGGGCTGTGGATGTGCGTCAGTGGTAGAGTACTTTCCTAGCATACACACGTCTCTGGATTTGAATTCCTACACTTAAAAATGTCATACAAAGTGTTGCTTTTGTTTAAGTTTCTGATATAGAAAACTTCTCCCTGATACAATAATAGTGGGTTGGTCCCACTATTTAGCACTGTAAAAAATAGTACGAAGAATGGTATAAAGCTCCAGGCAGGTAGGCCAGCGTTGTTTTAAAATGGCATTATTAAAAATAGGTCACCTTTGCCCTGTTTGGGCTCTTAAGAAGAACTGTGTGGTGGTTTAAACATGTGGTTGACTGTGAGCTTTAGGATAGCTGCATCCTGATCTTACTTGGCACACTGAAGATAGAGGGATTTCTCCCAATAGCTGGAAGATGTTTTTCTCAGGACCCACCAGCAGAGGGCAAAATACCACAGCTGTCTGAAAGCTGGCAGAGTCCTTCCTTTTCTATCCAACTACAGCTCAGCTAGCATTTCTGGGTTCCATGCCCAGTTTCTCTTATCAGGAAGTAACTCTCCCTTTAGAGGTAAGAGTGCTCTGGATTAACAAATTATTTTCTACTTCATGGCCAGAAGGCATACTCCATCAAGAACCTGCTCCTCCTGCCCCAGTAACTCCTTACTGCTCTGACATTGAGTAACTGTGTTTATTAATAAGGGATTCATTAGGTTTTTTTTTATTAAAACAGCAAATACGTGACAATAGAAAGGATAAATACTAGTATATGTTTTCTTTTTACATAAATGCAGGCTAATCTCTTGTAAATGAAAGACTTCTTCTTTGGTAGCATAATGAAACCTACTTGAAGATTTCTGTTGTTTTTGTTAATCTCCAGTGGCTTCACTCTGGCCCGTAGATGTTCTGATGCAATTGGACTGCAGTCCAGACTGGACCCTGGATTCTTTAAAGCACCTTGTTGATTCTCATGTGTATCCAGGCATAACAACCACTGCTCTGACGCATCTCTCTCATTCTCTTTATTTTCTACACCATTTTATTCCAAAATATGTTTTTAGAGAGTCTAGTACCTTCATATAACTTTCTTTTCCATGTAAAGTATATCCCCACATCACAGTGTGCCCCTCCCACCATCCTGTCACTCTGCCCTCTACCCCCTTTCACCTGACACAGTCCTGTATGTCTTCTTAGGTGCTTAGTATTGAATTGATGACTAGCTCTGATTTAACAATAATTCTTTAAGCTTACATATTTAAACTACCTTAAGGCAATAGAGTTTAGCTCAGGAAAGTTAAACTACCCTTAACTCTGATAGCTGGGGAAATACCCTAAAACATTTACTTGGCTGCCTCAGGGTCATGAATATCATTCCTTCCCTATCCATAGGCACCTTCTCTGTTTGCATACCCATACTTTGAATTTCAGTGACCTACACCCTAAGCCCAAGTGACTCCACCTGGACACCACACCCACAGTTTAAGCTGTTATAGTGGTTTTTTTTGTAGCCATTCCACTTGTTCTCATGATGCCGAACAAAGGACAGACTGAAAAGAATATACTACTATTTCCCCAGCTATCCCTGGCCCTTAGCATTATCCCAGTGTACACTTAGAGGTAGTTCCACAATAATGCTGAGATTATAGTTTGATTCTGTGTTCTAGCTAGGTATTATCTTTATTATTTTATAATGTACTCCTGCCTCATTTTTCTGGTGCTCAGTATGGAACCCAGGGCCTCCCACAGGCTAGATAAATGCTGTACCAATGAGCTATATTTGGTTTTAGACCAAATTGCAAGTTGAGATTGACCTTACCTGGTAGTTCATCTTAATAGTCAACTTCACTGGATTTAACACCACCAAGGAAACACACCACAGTTGATCTATGAGGTGTTTCCAGAAAGGCTAAAGTGAGAAGGGAATACTCACCCTGCATGTGAGTAGCATCATCCCATGGACTTGGGCTAAATAAAAAAGAGAACGTGAGCTCAGTGCTGACATGCATCTTTCTGCCTCCTGACTACAGATGCATTGTGACTAGCTCCCTCATCCTCCTGTTTTTTGTAGCCATTCCACTTGTTCTCATGATGCCGAACAAAGGACAGACTGAAAAGAATATACTACTATTTCCTTCCTCCCTCCTGGCCCTTAGCATTATCCCAGTGTACACTTAGAGGTAGTTCCACAATAATGCTGAGATTATAGTTTGATTCTGTGTTCTAGCTAGGTATTATCTTTATTATTTTATAATGTACTCCTGCCTCATTTTTCTGGTGCTCAGTATGGAACCCAGGGCCTCCCACAGGCTAGATAAATGCTGTACCAATGAGCTATATTTGGTTTTAGACCAAATTGCAAGTTGAGATTGACCTTACCTGGTAGTTCATCTTAATAGTCAACTTCACTGGATTTAACACCACCAAGGAAACACACCACAGTTGATCTATGAGGTGTTTCCAGAAAGGCTAAAGTGAGAAGGGAATACTCACCCTGCATGTGAGTAGCATCATCCCATGGACTTGGGCTAAATAAAAAAGAGAACGTGAGCTCAGTGCTGACATGCATCTTTCTGCCTCCTGACTACAGATGCATTGTGACTAGCTCCCTCATCCTCCTGCCTCTGTATCTTCTCGAATACTCAGCCAAAACGAATGCTTCCTCCCCAAGTTACGTGGTATTCTGTACCACAACAACCAGAAGACACCAACATACCTTGTAAGCCAATGACTTAGTCCCATTTTATATACTTTAATTTCTTATATAGAGAAATAAGTTCAATCATGGTATCTTTTGTGTTTATACAATTATGTCCCAGCACATGACACTAATCACCACAAGTGGTGCTGTAGTGATTGCTCTTTGTGTAACTGTGACAAAACAGCTGACCAGAACAATGTAAGGGAGGAAAGATTTGTCTCATGATCTCAGAGGATTTAGTCCACTGAGCCCTGTGCACTGAAGCAGAACACCGTGGCTGTGTGGGTGTGTGTCTGAGGAGAGAAAGGAAGGAGAGAGTCAGAAAGAAGGGGACAGGGGCAAGAAACTCCAAGGACCCACCTCCAATAATTGACTTTTTTGTATTTAAGCCCAACCTCTAGAAATTTCTAGAACTTCGCAAAGCATTACCATCAGCCTGGAACCAAGCAATACATGAGCTTGTGGAAGGACACTTCGTTTTCCCAAACAATAAGTATTTATGTCTTGCAAACGAAAACAGGTCGTGATAAGCAGGTTGACTGGGTTTTCTTTCACTTCCTACTTCACTGTTCACAAATCGTGAGCCACAAGTGGAGGTGCTGAGTACAGGATCATTGGCTGATGTATGTGTACCCTAACCGGCAGTAGCTTAGCCTTTTCCCCACACTTGCTTGTGTGTAGTTGGTTCTAACACAGCAAAATGCAGCTGTTTTGTGGTTCCCTACAGAGGTAACTTTTGTCTACATGCTCTTTCTTTCCTAAGCTTCACTTTTGCAGCCTATCAAATGCATGTGCTCTAGATCTCATCTCTTTCCTGCTTTTCATCCATTTTAGACTGTTGAAAGATCCAGCCAAAGATGTATTACAGTTGTTCATAGCTGCCTTAGCATTTTTATTAACTGGAGATAAACTTAAGGTTTGTTTTGTTTTTGTTTAAAGTGGCATACCTAGGAGTTTGGGACTTTTGCAGACAGTAAAGATTTTACTCCCTTCAACACATTATTTTCTCCACCAACACTGCCATAATGCTTTGCCCATTTTGTAGGACTCTTTAACAACTGCCTCTCTACCTTATGTAACTTGTTAATGCCTATTGAAAGAACAGCATTAACCCATAATGTGCCAAAAGGAGGGGCTCAGAAAATTTGGATACAAAATGCAAGTTGTGGACCAAGTTGAATTGTGTTGGTTGCTGGGTCCAAATGCAGTCCTCAGCTAGTAAATGAGAGTGATAAACTCAGTTGTGGGAGCTTTTTACTTAGTGATCATTGCAACAGAATGGGCAGAAGGAAAAGACCACCATCTGTGTAAATAGAGAAGGCTCAGAACACTGCTACCACTGTATAGATCGATGATAGTGAAGAGATTACGGTGAGTTCTTGAATTTGGCTGCACATTATGCTCATGTGGGTGACTTTTGAAAGCCATGGGTCCATGTCCCACCCACAACCTTTTAACTCTGAATCTCTGAAGATCAGCCAGCCACCATAGCACTAGTGACTCCAGTATTGAAGCCAACATTGAGAACCACTGACTTCAGTCTTTCAGGATGATGCCAGAACCAGTTTAAGAAAAACTGCTGCTCTTTGCTGAAATTCACATTAATTATACTTGCTAAATTCTAATTCTAATCTTTCAGTGGTTACATTGCTGATTAGTTGCATTATTATTATCAAAATGATCATAGAACTGGAGAGATGCCTTTGGATTAAGAGCACTGGCTGTTCTTCCTGAGGACCCAGGTTTGACTCCTAGCACCCACATGGTAGCTAACAACAATCTTTAACTCCAGTTCCAGGGGCATATGACACTCTCTTCCCCTCCATGGGTTTGGATGCACAGGTACACTTACACAAATGCAGGCAAAACACTCATACACATAAAATTTGAAAAAATAAATTTTTTTTAAAATGATGTTCACTGCATTAGAGGTTTGAGGAACTTACAACAATATAGGAAAGACCTTGAGTGAAAATGAGGAAACACTGGGAATTTCCCAGCTTCCTTGTTGTGTCTACAGGAAAGTACTCTCAGTTATCTGGCTGTCAGATTCCCCATGAAAAACTGGGACTTACTGGGCAGCTAATTATAAGGGTTCTAAAACAATAAAAAGATTACAGCATCAAATTACCATGTATAAAACGTTTTGGGTCACCTCATCATAGAATTGCTAAACAGGAGCCTTAATTCACTAGAATGTAAACTTCAGTAGAACAGGGGAGTTTTTTATTTTATTTTTTTTAACGTCTGTTCTCTGATGTATGACACTCACCTGGAACAGTGTTTATCTTATAGTAAATACTCAAAACTTATTTGTTGAAACATAAACTGTGACTTATCCAAGGTAACAGTTTGCAGAGCTGTCTACACATTTATTGGTTGGCATGCTGGCTTTTTGTCACCAAGACAGGCATCTGAGAGAAATGATTGAGAAGGATGAAGGATTTATTTTGGCTCTGATTTGAGAAGTTATAGTCTGTGGTTAACTAGCTCTGTTGTTTCTGGGCCTGTGGTGAGGCGGAAACACCATGATAGTCAAGAAGCAAAGAAAATAAAAAGAGGGCAGCCTAGGACAAGATAGAGGCTTCTGGCCAGTGAGATGGCTTAGCAGGTAAAGGTGCTTGTTGCCATGCCTGACCACCTGAGTTCAGTCCCTGGAGCCCACATGATAGAGAGAGCTGACTCCCAGAAGTTGTCCTCTGACCTTCACTCACATGCTGTGTGAACCCACATACACCTAAATAACTCTTTTTAAAAAATAGGTCCTCAAGGTCACATCTCAATTTACCTACTTCTTCCAACTAGGCTCCATCTATACAAGTTCACATCACCTCCCAATAACACCATCAAATTATGAAGTAAATTCACTGTTCAAGTCATAACCCTTGTGATCCAGTTGTATCTCAATGATTGGACTCATAAGCTGAAGACCAAGCCTGTAACACATAGGCCTTTGGTGAAGACATGTCATCTGTAGACTATAATAATGGAGCTTGTCCAATTTGGTGATGTCCTCAAGACTAAAATCCTGTGACGTTCCTGTTGATAAGGCAACTGAGACTCTTATCACCTGCCTCCCTGATTACAGTTAAGAGTATTGTGACACTAGGAATCGCCTCATGAGAATCAAGCAGAAGTCTTAACGAGTTAATTGTTCAGATTTTCCTGAGAGTCTGAAGGGAGAAACACGAGTTGGCTCAGAGGCAGAGTTAGAACCAATTACAGAAGTGGTAACAGTGATAAATGTGTTTGCGCTCTCTCTCTCCTCTCTCTCTCTCTCTCTCTCTCTCTCTCTCTCTCTCTCTTTCTCTCTCGTTATAGGAGGCCAGTCCTCTCAGCAGCCATCAAACTACCGAATGCAGCAACAACAAATCAAAGACTGAGTTGGGTGTCTCAAGAGTTAAATCTTTCCTTCCTGTTCCTAGAAGTAAAGTCGCCCAGTGTTTCCAAAACACCAAAAGAAGCAGCAGCAGCAGTAATACAAGGCAACTAGAAATCAATAACAACTCCAAAGAAGAGAATTGGAACTTACACAAACATGAACAAGTAGAAAAATCTAACAAATAGGCCTGCCTACACCATTATCACTTTGAACCTCTTCTGTATATGCCATACAGTATCCAAGGATAACAAGATGTAAATACCTTCAAACAAAAATGTTTTCATTGTAAAATGAAGTATAAATGCGGGACCACTATTCAATTATTTGTAAAGAATGTATTTATAGCCTAACATCTTTTTTTTCTGTTAATTCTGTAGGATTGAATTTCAAAACCATGAAAGTATGACAACTTTCCAAGTAGTTTTCTAATAAAAACATTGTAATAGTTTTAATAAAAATGTTCAGGGGTATTAAAACAGAAATTTATGTGTACTGTAGATTGTTTTCTGTACATGTGTATATTTAAAGAAGTCCACAAATCATACTGCATACATGTATACAACACTGGCTTAGGTAACATATATCATTTTGAAGAGAGATCATAATTTTATGTTCACCTGATGGGGAGTGACTCAAAAGGGGCAATAACAAAGCATTTATAAACAGTTATTTTCCATTAAAAGCCATATGAAATATTTTGCCTGTTAAAATTCTAGTTTTACATTTTGAGTCTTTTAGTGGTTACATTGCCATTGGGGTGCATCATGTACATACTTATGCTTATGGGTTTGCATCATGACTCTTGTAAAATATGAAATTATAATGCAATAAAAGTGTTATCTTTCTTACAAAATTTTTGTACCTAAGTGGATATAAAAGTTACCTGCATAAAGGAGTCAATAAATGCATTTGGAGTCAACTCCTTCAATGTATTTCTAATAGCACACTGATAATAAAATTGATATTTTCTAGTCTTTCTTCTAAAATTACTGGTGAAATTACTTATTCAACTCACAGTTACAATGCTTTGAAGCCAAATAAAATATTGAATTAGTGAAATAATTTCGCTGTATTTTCTACATATAGCTCTCAGTTACTCATCTGTGCAACAGGTTTGTGTCCCATATAGGAATGTTCATAAAACTCATCCTCAGTGCTGTTATTTCATTAACTCTACACACACAACTCACCCTTATCATAAAGTGCTATATACTTGTTTGAAGTTAAAATAAAGCAAACACTAAGGTAGAGCTCCAGCAATAAAACATTTCATAAAAATAAAAATTCTGATTTTTAAATCAAGAAGTATTTATTTTCTTAAGGGTACTGAAAGCCCTTTGGAATCAGAATAGCTATTTACATTAAATTACACATATATGCATGGATACTGTCCTAAACTTTAAAAAATATCTGCAAATGTTAGGGGGGTAAGTGCTGACTATTATGTTGCATGGGGTAAAGTAGAGGAAGGCTTTTGTTTTAAGGAACAACTAGAGTTCAACTTGTATCAGCATTTTTCCTGGGCATCATCTCTCCCAGGGAAGCTTGGAATACACAGTTCTATCTTCATAGTAGAAAGAGAGGACTAGAGAGAAGGGCAGAAGGTGGGAGAACAAAGAGTGGTAAGTGGTCCTAGGCTAGAGTTCAGTAGCACCTTAAAACTGGACTCAAATTCTGCAAGCCAGTTAGTATTTGATACTTGTGAGGGTTTTCACAAAAAGACTCTCATCTTGGAAACAAAATATACTCAAAGGCCTGAGGTAAGAAAACAAAATCAAATTTGGAAAACATTGAGATGACCTGTAGGAACTGATCCATGCAGCTTTGTTTTCTCAAATTCAATGTGCACCTTTTATAATTGGATGGCAGACAGCAAAACGTCTTCAAAGAACATTTCAATAGGGGCTCTCAGAACACAGGTAGACCTACTAATAGGTCATGATATTTAATAAGTCATAACTGTCATTTAAAAAAGAGAACATGATAGAACAGAAAATGTCAAGGTCATTAAAAGAACTATGAAGCGTGTCTCCAAGAGGTGGATGTATGAATGCATGCCCGTGTAAATTAAATAGTAGCTGTAGGTCATAGTAAAGTTTTTGAATGTCAATGGAATATAATAGAACTTAGGTGTAGGGTTGAGGCTGGTTTAGGGGAGATGTAGTGTTAATGGTATATGACCTTGGGGCTGAGTTAAACCCTGATAGTTATTAGCTGCTGTGTGATGGGAAACAGCTTACTTAGCCTGTAGTAAGATGAGGCTCATGTTAACCTATAAGTCATGTATGGACACTCAACAAAGTACAGTAAAGCATGCTTGGTGGTCTCATAAGTATTGATTCAGAACTCAGCTGAGTGTAGTAGCTCATGTGTATATAATTTCAGCACTGGGAAAACTGAAACAGGATCACTACGAGTTTGAGGGCAGCCTGGGTTACAGAATGATACCCTAGCTCAAAAAAAGTGGAATTTTTTGTAGCATTTAGTATAAAACAATAGGAAGGAGAGAAGACTGTTTAGTACAATAATAGTAGATACTTCAGTGCCCTACTGCAGTAATTAATGGACAGATCACTAAGGGAGAGAATCAACAAGGAGACATCAGATTTAAACTATTCTTTTTGTTCATTTCATTGTTGTTGTTTCATCTTTTGAAAGAGGGTCTCCCTATAGCCCCAGCTGGCCTGGAACTTGCTTAGTAGACCAGGCTGGTCTCAATCTCATAGAGATCTGCCCGCCTCTGTTTCCTGAGTGTTGGAATTTAAGGTGTGTGCCACCATACCTGATCATATTCTTTAGGCATAACAAACACATACAGGATATTCCATCTAACAACACTACAGTACATGTTTTCAGGCTCACATAAAACATTTTCCAGAATAGATTGCTATTAAGTTGCAAGTCACATGTAAGAAAATTTAATCCCAAATATTGTTGCAACCCAATGATATGAAACTATAAATCAATAACACATGAAATTATAAAAGACCAACCCTCAGAAATACACAGTAATTAGGACTCCTTAACAACCAATGGGTTAATAAAATTAAAAATAGGAAAATTACTTGAGGTGAATGTAAATGGAAACAATATACTAAAATACAGGATACAACAAAATAGTTCTAAAAAGGAAGCTGATAGCAATAAACATCTATAATCTGCATCAAGAAAGGTCTCAAGCAAGGCCTGCCTTATGGAACACATCTATAATCCCAGGAGGATCATGAATTTGAGACCTTGTCTTAAAAAAAAAAAAACTCAACCTAATGCCTTAAGTAACATATAGCAAAACATGTTTCATGTTTTGAACAAACTATGCCCAAAGATTGTAGAAGGAAGGAAGTTCAAATGTAAGTACTTACAGCTGTATTATGAGCCTTACATTTTTAAAGTACAGTTGTCTGATATAATAAATGGAAATCAATTACTATAAAACACACTTGAAATTTCCATGTTCATTTCATTTTAACTTAAAGACAAGTTTTTCCCAAAGAGGCCAATACATTTTTCTAGATAAAGAAAATAGACTCTACAAAATCTGATTATTGGAGAACAGCTAATTTTGATAAGGTCATTTTTTTACACATACAGTTTTTCTGTACAGTTAATCCACAATGAAAACCAAATTCAGTTGACTAGCCCTAGCCATTGATTTGTCTTCTGTTCTTAACAATAATAATCTATTGCAGAAAATGCACCTCTAAAGACATGTGATGGTTTTTAATTCTATTCTATTTCTCTGCAAGGTCATTTTTCTCAAAAGAAAAATGTGACAGATATCCAAAAAATCTAAATTAGTGAATAGATACCATCTATTAGTTTGAACTTGACTAATATCACATAAACATACTGGGTTGTGGACAAAGAGGCCTGGTGAGTGTTCAGAAGAGACGATGTAGAATGCAAGAGAGGGAATCTGCAATCACGTGACATGCCTAGCCTGCTTCTGATAGTGAGGATTACCCTCAAGTATCAGGAATTGTGAATTCAGGCTGGCCACAAAGCTAACAAGATGACACTGAACAACTTAGGGTTGTCATGTACAGAGGAAAACAGGGGAATTGTTTTTTCCTTCCTAGGAAGAACACAATAGAAAATCAGATTCTGATAGTTGTCCCTGTACTTCCTGTTACTCAGGCAATCAGCTAGACATGCCAGGAATTATTTAGGCTGGATTTCAAGGTAGCCAAGAATATATTTCTCCTGGGATTACTCAGATGTTCACATCTATTCAAAGTGGCTTCAAACCTTATTCAGTCATCAAAGCAGGAGCTGGGAACAAAGCATTATGACATACTAGGCTGTCCCCACCATAAAGTTTACAGACAGTAAGTAAATCAAGATAATTTCCTGTTAAGTATATTCTATAAAAGAAATCAGTATAGTGATGTAATGGAGCCTAGTAAAGATTGTGGAAAAGGAATTACTTCAGGGCAGGATGGTCTCCAGGGATCTGACATTTACTCTGGCATCTGGAGGATGAAATAGATCAAGGAGCACAGGAGGTGGAGAGAAATTGTCATGGTAACTCTTGGTCTTAAGAAAAGACAAATGAAGTTGTTAAATTTCAAAGCTACTTCATGGTGAAGGAATCAATCAGCAGTGAAGACATGACTTGTGGGATAGGAGACAATCTTTGCAAATCATACATTTGATGATACCTAAAATATATGAGGGGCTCAACTGCAAGAAAACAAATATCCTCAATAAATATTGGGAAAAGGACCTGAATAGCCAGTTCTCTAAAGAAAAGTGTTCAAATATATGAGGAAGAATGCTCAGAGTCACTGATCTTCAGTGAGTTGAAAATTAAAACCACAACGAAATAACAACTCACACATTTTCGAATGGCTGTTATCAAAAAAGCAAAAGATGCAAGTGTTGAAGAAGATATGAGAAAAAGGAAATCCTTGCACACTTGAAGGAGGCACAAACTCCAGAAACTATACTCTGGTCTATAGACATTACGGAAAACAGTACGGAAGCCCTTAAAAAAATACAGGGGTTGGAGAGAAGGCACAATGGGTAATAGTGCTTGCTGTAAAAGAAAGATCTGAGTTCAAATCCAGAACCCACATGAAAAGCTGGGGATGGCTGTGCATTCCCATAACCCAGTTGTCGGGGGACAGAAAGACAGAAATCCTGAGAACCTGAGGGCAAACCATTCTAACTGCAATGGCAACCTTCGGGTTCAGTGAGAGAATTTGTCTCAAAAAGTATGGTGAATAGTGGTAGAGAAAGAGACTTGATATACAACGACCCTACACATACATATGCATACACCACACATGCGCACACACAGACAAATTTAAAACACAGATTTCATGTGATCCAGAAATCCTACTCCAAAGGAAATTACATCAGTCTGTTGAAGAGACAATCTGGTCATTGTAGCATTATTTGTGGTATACAAAATCTGAAATCAACCCAAGTATCAACTGAAAAATGGACTTTAAAAATGTGCTGCAAATATGCAATGGAATGTGATCCAGTCTTAAAAGAAAGTCCTGTAATTTATGACAACATGGATGAACCTAGAGGACATTGTGTTAAGTAAAAAGGAGCCAAGCACAAAAAGGCAGCTGCACTGCACATCCTGCTTCTATGTGAACTGTTACAAAACAAAGGCGAGCTCATAGACGCAGAGACAGATTGATGGCTACCAGAGGTGAGGCTAGAGCAGGTTTGGGAAGATGCTGGTCAGGGGATTAAAATTTTCAATTAGGAAGAATTAGTTCAGGAGACCTTATGCACAGCATGGTGTGTCCATGGTTAGTAACAACGCATTTTAGTTTTGGAAAATCCTCAAATCTACAGTTTTAAAAGCAGTCCCAGCCACAATCTAAGTCAAATTACTTTGTTAAAAAAAAGGAAGAAACCAACAACTCTGTAAACATATGACTTTTCTTTTAATTGAAAATTGTTAGAGCTTCTGCTTGACTCATACATTCAAATCATTCTGACTTAGAGCTGGATTTTTGTTTCTACACTGATGATTCATTGATTGGAGATTCCTATTTTAATTTTTATTTTTAGTAAAAGAAAAGAGTCTAAATTTATTTAATTCCTGGGCCTCTGTGCCAAGGGGCTAAAACAGTATTTTATCTTCTTCACGACAAATCCTTCAAAGGGTGTTTAAGTACAAATATAACAATATTTCTACTGAATTTTTTTTTAAGCAAAAGCA